AATAATAATACAATAGATAATCAACCCCCAAATTATGTATTGAACATTACTACAGAAAACCCTAAAATAAAAAAACCCTACGCTCAAACAGTAAAAAATAACTATAGTCACTTTTTCACAAAACGTAAGTTTGAGGTTCTAAAGAAGATCCAGTTAGAGATTTTCACATTGGCAAATATTAAATAACAAATTTAATATGCAACATTATCATTTTAAAACAATAATCATTTTATAAATAAAACATTGAATACTGCCTACCCTAAAAAAAAAAAGCACAAAACATGAAAATGCCAGTGTGCAAGATAGGGACTCGTACGGCCTGAAATTATTAGATCATCTCAAATAACAAAAAGGTAATTTATTCAATATGAACAGACTCCAACTCCTACAAAAGCCCCTCTGCAGAACTGCCAACAAGATGATTCTTAGCATGGACCATTTTACTTTCAAAGTGTGTATTAATTCCAAATATCTACTTCACTTTAAAAAAAAAAAAAAAAAGAAAAATTCTGCCTCTTAATTCAGTCTTTCCTTTTCCTTCACCAAAAATTCTCTGGCACATGATGTACACAGCACAGTTATGTCCTGCATGTCTGAAAACATCGAGCAAGGTAAAAGTTTTATGAAAACTGTACTTTAGTGGTAACAAGAAGAGTGCCTTTTCTTCATTTTATATGAAAATAAAGTATTTGAGTTCTTCCCACCCCTTTCAACCTCCACATTAACTGGGTAGCATTTGCCCAAAAAAAAAAAAAAAATGTTTTCCTGAACCCAGAGTCGATACACTTAAGTGTGACTGAAGTTGGGGACACACAGGGCAGTAAACACATTACTAGAGACAACAGCTCGAAGAATATAACAGTAAAACTGCACACACAACACGTTTACTAATCATAAAGAGATGCATTGGGAAAAGAAAAAAAAATCATCATTTCTGTCATAAATTTTGCAGTGCAGCCCCAGAATGGAGAACAATCTGGGCAATTTATTGGCATATTGGCAGGAGGTGATAAGGCTAAAAACAACAACAGCAAGCAGCTGTGTGAGGAGATGGGCTGATAGCATGATATGGCTCCCACACCAAACACCTCCCGTCCTATCAGGGCGTTTTATCAAACCAGGATTACAATAATAGCTCAGGAGAGAAAGCTTCTGAGGGGAGGGCAGAAAATATAGTCTTGAAACAGGAAAAAAAAAATCTGAATTTGGGGACAAAACATGGGGGCAAAATACATAATTTATCACTGTATTATCAGGAAATCCAGGCAGTCTAATCAAGGAGCACTGAGTGACTATTTTTTGCCTTATCATCCAAAGTGGTGGAAACGGAGAAGGAATTATCAGGCTTCTGCAGATTGCTGGGCTGGAATTTTAATGGTAATAATCGGGTTTCTGATGGTATATCTTCTCCGCTTATCTTTCCCATTATCTCCTCTTATCTGGCCAGTCATCATAGCAAATTAATGGTGCTCTTTCAGCGTCGCCTTTTTATCGCTGCCCAGAGAGCACCCAAGGGGAAAGAATAAGCAAAATATTAAAATACTGCATAAATCACAATTTTAGATAGCAGAGAACTGTACGCAGTAAAAGAAGAAAAAAAACTGTGCCCAACAACCTTTTTGTCCTTTAAATTGACTGTCTTCAGAGTTTCTGGTATAAGCTGACTTTTGCTTGTCATACTTGCTCTAAATTGGGTATGCTTTATCAGCAGTGCCAAAGCTTTATTTTCAAATTCTGGATGCTTCCAAGTTTAAAATACAGTTTCATTAGTTGTGTGAAATGCTATTGTTTCAGAAAGCATTTCTTGCTGATATTTTCCGAACTTCTATCGGACTCACAATATCAAAAGCAACAGTGTTCTTTGTAATAAGAATGATAATAATAATGCCACACTTGTTATACACTGCTAAAATTGGAGGGACAGACCTATCACACTAATGACTTTGAGTACCAAGACAAACTTCTCCATCTGCAAAACTGCCTCTTATGCCCGGACAGGCAAAAGGAGACAAATGTCGATAGGTTGCAACCAAAATGACTTTACAGCTGGCCAAACCATATTTAAATATTCCACTCCTCCCCCCAAAATTCCAGCTATTAGACAGCCCTGCTCTAATATAACAATTCAAAGACCTTTTAATTTTTCATTCTCCTCAATAGTCCAAGGGGAGAAGCGTGTCCACATTTGCATAGATTATCACTGTGACCCCAAATTGAATCCAATAAAAGTCTAAAATGCATGTATATTAATAATACATGTTTGCATATATCAGTAGGCAATGATCGCTGTGAACAAATATATAAATATGATATTTGTTCACTTTCAAATGAGAGAACTTTCAAGTATTTTTGATAGTTAATAAATCACAGCATTCAAATAAGCCACTAAAATGTTTTATGACCTATAACACAAGTGTAGCATCAGCAATTAGTTCCAACGCTTTAATCTTCAGTTATATGAGGTGGACATAGAAGGATAGGAAAAAAAAAAAATTTAATGTAGCTAATTGAGAAGATAACAAAGTATTCCCAAGTAGAATCAGATGGTCTTTGTGCCATACAATCAATTAATATTAATTATTTATTAACAACCTAGACGACAGCCATGAACTAAAAAAGCATTTACATTTAATGTTTATAATCATATCTCATAATAAGCACAGCGTCGTACTACAAAACACAACATTTAAACAGAGGGACCTGATGAATTTAGTATTAAAAAGTAAAAGGCAATTAGTTAAACCCATGAATAATCACTCTGAAAAAGTGAAAGTCTTCAAGAACGGTATCTCTACTTGATTAAAACTGCTTTGAGCTAAAAGTTCAGTCCCTGCTTTAACCCAAGTTGCACAGAAAAGGAACTGAAGTATGAGAGAAGAAATGCACTAAATAAAAGCGACAGAGTCATGTCTGAAAGGCTAGGTTTGTACGTGTATCTAAAGATCGAAACACTTAACTGTAGCAAACTGCTTTACACACCTAGACCCCATTTCACGCTGCCTAAGTTAATAGATAAGATTTATTTTTAAACTACACCCAATGGCATTTTCAACATTTGGGGGTGGGGTGAGTGTGGTTCATAATTAAGGGGGAGGGAATACTACCAAAGCCTTACCCTGAAATTACACTCTCATCAGTTTGAAACTAGTTGGCAGACTTTAAACAACACGAAGAAATAGACACAGCACAAGCCTAGCAAAAAAATAAAAATTAAAATTAAATTTAAAACAAATAAAAATTAAATTAAGTAAACTAAGAAGGCTGTGCCTCCTTTTCGGCCAAAGCGTTGAAGACGTGTCGCAGGGCGACAAAGCACCATTGGAGGAATTTTCCCCAAGACCAGAAAAGTTGACCGAGTTGAGTTCTGCCAGTGTGTGTGTTTCGGGCAGGTACCTCCGGCCCCGCGGTGTCCTCTAAGCGCCACCCCGGCCCCGGGGCGCTGTAGGGGGAGCGGGGAGAGGGGGGAGGGGGCTCCGGGTCGCGCTCCCTGCGGCGCACGGGCTGCCTTGAACTCCCAGCTTCCGCGGTGGGAAGTGACGGGCGGCCCCTCCCAGCGAGGACTCCGCGCGCCTCCGGGGCGGGAGGCAACCCGAATCCCCGCTCAGCGGAGCGGTCCCGGCCACGCGAACCGGACGGGCCCGGCGCCCCCGGCCCAGTCCCGCCCCGCCGCCAGCCCCGCGCCCCCGGGGCGGAGGCGCTCGGCCGCCCCGCTGCAGAGGCGCAAACTTTTACACCTACTTTTTGTTTCGCTTCGGGTCTGGCGTGGCCGTGGCACCGCCCCGCACCGGGACCCGGACACTGATTTTCCACCGCCTAGGGACGGTGCCTCCCTCGCCCCGAGGTCTCGACCAGCTTTTCGGAGAACTAAGTTCTCACCCCGGTGGCTAAAAGTACGGTCCCCGGGAGGAGCGCTACGTCCGCTGCCACAACAATGACAACAACTACCGTAGGAAGAACCCCCTAAGCGAGCGGGGCTGCACGGGCAGGCTGGACGGCGAGGCGGCGGGAACTAACTGCGCGCGGGGGTCGGAATTAAAAAGAAACCCGGGAGCGCGGGGACGCGGGCGAGCAAGAGTGAGCTGCTCGTCGCAGCCTCTGTCTTGCCCGGCGCTCGGGCCGCCCGCCGTCTGTCTGTCTGTCCGAGACTGACTAGTTGTCCCTCCGCTGCTCAGGCAAAGTTTGACAAATCCGGGGCACGGGGAGCGGATTTCCCCTCGTCTCCCTCCCCTTCCCGCCCCGCGCGCCCCCCTCCCCAGAAATAATCCCAGCAACTGCCGGCCCAGCGTGCAAACTTACGTTTGATCTGCCGGGGTTTGCTCTGTTTTCGCCGGGACATCTCGGCGGCGGCCGCTGCCACTGAAGCTCCCGCGGTGCCCGCGGTCGGGGCTGCCGCTCCCTCGGCTCCCGCCGCCGCCGCTGGCCAGGCTCGGGCCGCCGCGGGCCGGTCTCCAGGTGCCTCGGACGCGCGGGATCCGGGCGCGGGGCTCCTCCGGGAGCCGCGGAGCCACGTTTGGAGAGGAGCAGGCAAATGAGAAGACGGAGGGGGGCAGAGAGAGAGTGACAGTGGGGAGGGGAGGGGGCGAGTGAGAGAGCGAGGGGGGGGGGGGAGGACAGAATTTACAAACGAATGGACGAGGAGAGAGAAAAGGGGAAAGGGGGAACACGGAAAGGAGGAAGAGAAGGAGGGAGGGAAGGGAGAGCGAGCAGAGGGAAGAGGGGGAGAGAGGGGGTGGAAGGCGCGGGAGGAGGAGCGCGCTCGCTCTCCCCTCTCCCCGGCGTGCGGGGCAGAGACTCGAGCGCCAGCGCCGCCGCCGCCGCCGCCGCCGCCGCCGCTCCGGGCCGCGCAGCTCGCTCTCTGCCGCGGGAGGTGGCGAGGCGCGGGAGGGAGGGGCGCGCCGGGGCTGCGGGGAGGGGAGACTATTCCATCAGCGAAAGGAGGATTGGCTGCATCCAAAGCCAGTCCGGATGCAAAAGAGGGCCCGGGCCTCAGTCGGGTCGGGTGCACGGGAGCGCGGTGGAGGGGTGAGGGGTGAGGGGTGGGAGGGGACCAGAGGCGTGGGGAGGGTTTGGAGGGGGGGCAGCTTCTGCAGTTGTCACCGCGTCAGCTCTGGGCATCTGCCAGAGCACCCCTCCAGGCAACTTCTTCCCACATTCCCCTCTGATGGACCCCAACTCTCCTCACGCCTGGCCCGTCCAGCGGGGCACAAAGAAATCCCAGTCTCTCCGTAAACTTTGCGCTTCCAGTTATGCCGCCCCCTCCCCTGGCCTCCCCCCTCCCCCCTTCCAGCTTCTTGGCAGGAAGGTTAGGCCACTGGCAAAATCCTCGGCGAGAGGCAGCTGATCACAAATGCCAACTGTGTGTCTTGGGGCCAGTTAAGCCCTCTCATCTGCCCAGGCTCTCTGGAGACCATTTCATTGCTCTCAAGGTTCCCAGGAGACCGCTGCGGACGTGGACCATCCCCCACTCAGCCCGCACCGATGGGATGCTGAGCGGCGTCCTAAAAGTGCTCTTTCTCACCTCCACTTCTCATGGTAGACTGTAATAATTCCGAATTTGGAGACAGGCAGATCTTTTTTTTTTTTTTTTCTTCCCTCAAATGAAAAAAGGAGGACCATTAGCTAGGTGATTAGCCCTAGGTGGGAAACGAATCGTCTCAAAACAGAATACTAACTTTTTGAGGAAGTCTGTGGAAGTTCTAAAGACCCACCCCATCCCATGACCTTTAATTCTTTTTAGTTCTGCCACAGGGAAGCAGCCAGCGACTAATAAAAGATTTGATCTTGCCATAATTTCCCAAGCAGGTAAGACCCAATAACTATTTCATGGTTCTTTAGCTCTTAAAGTTTTGTTTCATTCTTTTTCAATTATTGTGTGTGTAGTATGTTGGAAACTGCGAGCCAAAAGAAGAACAAATTTTGAAGTGATTTGCATAGTTATTATTTGGCCAAGTTAAGCTGCATGAGGCTAGCTTAGTTTCTCATAGTTTTATATATACTGAGTATTAAATATATCCTCCCGGGTGGGCTGGAAGAAGCTTCTATCCCAGTAGCAGTGGGACTGGCTGCTTTATGTCATCAGTATTTACTAATAAACTCCACTGCAGTTGACATGTATCCCCCAGATACTGCTGACTTTTCCCCCCAGGTTGTGGGATCATCCAATCTGATCTGAAATTGTGCCCCCCCCACCCCCCGCCTTTGTTTGGTTGACTAGCCGTTCCTATGAGCCCCACCAAACTTGATACTCTAAAAGGGTCTGGGGGTCAGCAGAGAGCCTGGGCTGATTGAGGATAATGCACGCTGCTCAGTGTGCACGAGGCACTGTAATCAGTGTCATTTATAACCCCATCAGGACATCTTCTGGAAGGTGTAAAGAGTTGCCCTGTGAAAGGTATGGCTGGGAGAATCTTAATACAGAGCTGAAGACCAATTGTGAATTTTATTACATTACCATTAGTACTATTATCATGTGAGGTTGTAAGAATACATGGTCCTTTGCAGTGGAAAATGCACTAAATGACAAAGTCCCTCCCCTGAAGAACCAACAAATTAAAGCCGTAAGTACCATGAAAAGCAGGGTTATGTGTGTTTGTGTTGTGGAATGAATAAGCAGACAGAGAACTACAGATTTTTGCCTCCTTAATTTTCAATTCATTACAATTAAATTGGTGTGCTTAGAATTGGGTGTATTATACATTACGGTTTTTAAAGATCTTTTTACAGAACTGGCTGACTTTTTATATCAGCCAGAAGGAATGCCCATTGGAATTAAAATATCATAACAGTTAGTGTTTCTTTTGGCATTTGAAATGGTTAAATATGCAAAGCAAAAGAGAAACAAATAAATCTCAGCTAAATATTCAGTTTAAAAGCTGAAAGGAGCAAAAGTCAGGGAATTCAAGGCAAGATTGATAAAATAAGCAGACTGCATTATTAGAAATAGATATAGTTTGTATAAATTTATAAATATATATTAATTATAGTCATTATGAATGAATTAAACTAAGGAATACTATTACATTTTGTGTTTTCTCATCATTTTTAATGAGAATGTTGATGATATTTAAAGTTCAATTTTTCTTTTTCTAGTTTAACTCACTAAGGTTATAAAATTAAAAGACAGCAAAACCTATAAGCAATTATCTCTGTCCAAATGGATATAGCAGCCCCAAACCGCAGCTACATGACTATCAAACAATGATTATGAAAACCACAATTGAGGAAAGCATCAGGGAATGATATTGCAAAACCACAGCAACAAATGTGTCTGTGATATTGAAAACCACAATTCACAACTAATACCCTGTGTATCGCAAATTACTATTTAACTATAAATATGAAAATGTATAAGTAACAGCACAAAATAATTTCTCATTTACTTAAAAATGAATTATTCATTTTCTAGACTCACTGATTTCATCTCTACATAATGGTTCATTTTGAAAAGTTTCTGCTTTCAAAGACAAATCATTTAAAATCACATATGTAAGTTACTTTAAGCGCAGAAAATATGCAACTTTTAATAACATTCCTTCAAATACTAAAAGAATTGATCTGAAACCAATCTGAAATAAAGAAACATTTACCTCAGTCTAGCTTTCTTCATAAAGTTCTTTGGGAGTAAAAAGAGATGTGAGTCAAAACTGTTCATGGAAAAAAAGCTTGAAGTATTCTATTACAACCTCAATGAAAATATACTTATATATATTCTTAATAGTCCAGTTAGCTAGAAAACATATATCTGACAATAAAATGAGATGCCAGTACTGAAACTACTTTAATAAATAAAATCAAAGGTTTATTTACAAATGAATAAAAACAATATAGCTTGCAAGTTTATAGGGTTGACAGATTTCGAAAAGTAAAATACAGGATGCCCAGTTAAATTTATACTTCATGTAAGCAACAATTGTTTTGTATTAGTCTATTCCATGCAATATTTGGAACATACTTATCTTAAAAAATAATTGTTGCTTGCCCTGTACTTTATTTCATTTTATCTGGCAAACCTACAAATACAGCATGTTACCATTTTCACAAATTTATGGTTGTCTTACAACTAACAGTGTTTATAGAAAAGGCAGACAAACCCTAAAGTGCTTCCTACAGACATATATTTAATTCTTGAACATCATATTATTTAAGAACGGCAAGGTAGAAGAATAAATTTCTATACAAAAATTCTCACTTTATTTGGCACAGTACAGAAATGTGCTCTCAGTGTAAATGGATTTCATTCATGTATGTCTTACTCTTGGATTTGTTTTTAAAATGTGTTTTTTCCTCCAAGGGATCGACAAATTGATAAAGCAACCTCCCAGGCCACATCTTATTAGGCAGCAAGCTGCCTTCTTTATTATGGGAGTAAACAATATTCAAAAGCTTCAGAAAGGCTTAATTTTTTGCCCTTGTATCCTCACCAGAAATTGAATACAGTTTATCTGCCTTGATTTAAGATTGTGACACTGAATTGAACAAGAATGCAGTATGAAAATAGTGTTTCGGATTTGTATATCTTTATAATTTGAGCAGTTTAAAAATAAAAATCAACAAATTCATCTAAATGGCCTTCCTATGTTATAACTATGTAAGGGACTATCTGTTTACTTGCAAAGGAGCCAAGCGCTTTGAAAACGTTCAGTCAATCTAGATCAGGGGTTTAACTTGGGCTTCATGTAGACAGTCAATGTCTCAAAAGAAGTTTGTATGTACCAAAAAACAAAACAAAAAAAAAATGTTCTATGGAGCAAGTCTGTTGAATTCATTGGATTCTCAAAAATTTCTGTGAAAAAAACATCTGTGAACCATTATGAGTTAAGAATTTCTGTGTGAATTTTTATGGTATACTAAAAACCAACGTGTTTTTACTCTTTACTCTTTACCATAATCCTTTATGTACAAGTTACTACTCTGAGAGAAGAGAGTTATAGGATCAACTCTATTAAGCAAAAAAAGTTCTTTGTTGCTAAGTCCATATAATACATCACACCTCCACATATAAAATAAATATTAAAGGAATGTCATCCCAAATTTTAGCAGACATCTGTGGATTTTGCCTGCCTAGCATTCATTCTCTTTTCAGGTAATAGTTCCGTGATATCTTTTCAAGAATTACTCCTCCTCACCCACTATTTGGTCATGTGATACAAACGGGGCCTTCCCCAATCCCTGACCAGAATATTCTAGGTGTTTGTCTTTGGTGATTGGCTCAATGGCCCAAAGCATTCTCATTAGAGTCAGCCCTGGAATGTTGTACTGTTCCAGGGAAACCACTGAGGAAAAGGTGCTATTTTCCCGCTGGGCTACACTGGGAAAATGCAAATCTGTTATGCAAATCGGCTGTTGGACATCCTTGTTGGAAGAACCTGTTAAGAACGCTGCCAGCACAGAGGACTAATTTTGTCTTATCTCGGGATCTGATATTTGGGAAACCCAAGCTGAGATACCCATCAATATTCTAATATTACTTTGTTTTAGATCCGTCAACATTATCTTTGTGTCTATATAAACATAAGAGTCATTTCTATTATATTTCACTTCCATCTATTTGACCAGGCTAACGCTTATGCATGTCTGTAGTCTTAGTATAGATGACACTTTTCACAAGAAGACATCACTCACCTCCCAGCATGAGTGAGATATGTCTTCTCCTTTACTACCACAACACCTTTTTTTTTTTGCCTCCATAATATCACTTGTTGCATTTATTACAAAGACAATTTACATAAAACCCAATCCTCACCAGCCACCTCCCTGTCCCAATACACCTAACTAGATAGAAATGTTTGTGAGGGTAAGAAGTATCCTTTTCAGAATCATATCCCCAGTGCTTGACATATAGAAAGTCCCAACATAATTATTGAAAGAAAAAGTGAATTCAGGATTAACCTGTCTTATGTAGGAACTCCTGCCATTCCCAGTCCCCTTCCACAGAGTCATAGGTACAGGAGATGGCAACCCTATTTGAACAGCATAACTCCATGCTCCTGCTGGTGGATTCTTGGACCACAGGGTGTCCCTGACTTAAATATGGCTAATCAAATTCCTCTCTTAGAAATCTAGAGTTAGTTTCAAGACTTTCATCCTTACATAGGCTGATCTCTTGAATGAAGAAGTAAAACCTCTGGAATTAATGGCATCGTTATCACCATGTGAACAGAGTAGCAGTGATAGTTTGTCTGTAGAAAGAAAAGTAAATAAAATGCATGTTCAGAGATAAGTAGAGACAGGAATATGAAATGGAATCCCACGTCTTGTTCCAGCCCCTTCATAGACTGCAGAAGTACTTCTGCCCTTGATATCATTGAGGTACTTAGGTTTTCTTAAAATAAATTCCTCCCAACCTTTTCTTTTCTAAATTATTTTTGTCCTAAATTAGCATTAGTGGATTCCTGTTACATTCAAGTCAAAAGAGTAAACTAAGACAAGAATTAACTAACCATCTATGACTTCAGTTTGCTTAACTGACTATTTAGAAATAGCAGTTTAACTGAATTTTTGACCTTCCTTCAGAAAAACACTGTATTAGTCTTGGTTCTTCAGATAAACAGAACCAACAGTGTGTATATATGTATATACACACACATACATATATATGAGAGAGAGGAATTGATTTACATGGATTTATATATATATTTAATAAATATTTAATATTAATATTTAATAAATTAATACTATATATAATATATATGTATATATATGTATATGTATGTATATCTGTATATGTATACATATACATATGTATATATATATGTATATATTATATATATATATAGGAATTGATTTACATAGTCAGGCTGAGA